CAAAGCCTGGATTAAAACAGGAAGATGACTTTAGAAGACTCAGCATCCTAATTCAGAGTAATGGCCACATTCCTGTCCCTAACCAAGTTGCTGTGGAGGAGAGAAAACCAACAGGAGGAAAAGATATGTGGGTTTTCATTAGAGAAGTAGGTCAGATTCTCAGTCTTTTGGTCTGCTCCCAACCTCTTCCTTTGCACTCTTCATTATCTTTAGAACATATCCTGTGACAGCTGAGGGCCGTGCTAATAAAGCTCATCGTGCTTATGAACTATTTTGTGGAAGTCAGCAACATGAGTTCCAATTCACAGTAAGGAAAATCTGAATAGTCTTATTCTGCTTTGGAATTTTGGTCAGTAATGGTGAGGCAGCCTATGCTAACCCCATTGATTTAAAGATTTATTTCCTCCTCTCATAAAAAGAGGATTTTTGTTTTCTACAGAGATTATTCTGGAATACTTTCCAGCCAACTTGTTTCTTTCTTTCTTTTTCTTTCTTTCTTTTTTTTTTTTTTTTTAAGTAAGAAGTGGAAAATGCACTGGCTCACATTGACTATTTGGTACATAATGGGTAGAAGTCAGTCTCAGTAGCTAGGCCTCTTGGTGAGTGACCAAATTAGGAATCAACCCACGATTTGGGCATATAAAATAAGCCCATTTAGAGGAATCTCATGAATTTTCATCATGGACTAGCAAACATCAGAGGTCAATAGGAAACCAAAATAATAATACACTATCCTTTCTCATGGATTATATCAAAGAGCCTAGTCAAATGAATTACGAAGAGAGAAATTACATTTTTTCATCTTCAGTGCTTTTTATTCAACCATGAATGGTATTAATTTAGCGTGGTTGTAAACCATCCTAAACTCAGTGAGAGATCTGAAACAAGAAAAAGTAGGTACATGCTGACAGCATAGAGTCAAATCTAATTACAGGAATGTCAACGTTAGTGCTGCCCAATTGCATACATCAAAAGCACATGACCGTTGTCTCTGTGCAGGAACTAGAATCATTTGGAAAACATGCTAAAATATAGCCTTCAAAGTCCCACCTCCAGAGCTTCTGATTCAGAGTTTCTAGGTGGGCCTAAGAATTTATGTTTCTAATAAGTTCTCAGGAAATGCTGTTGTTGCTGGCCCAATACCCCATCATGAATGGGTTGGCTCATGAATGAGTTGTGAAAGTGGTCTCTGCCAACAGGACATCTTCCTTAGAGCTTTTACTTATGCTGCCTGGAAAGTGCTTCTTGGTGACTCTATCCCTAATGCGAGTTCTGCCAGCTGGAATTACTCTAAATATACCTAATCTATTTTGCTATCCAACTCCCAATGACTTTAAACTTTTAAAAAATTGGGAAATACCTAGGATATAGTATATACATCTTATGTGTACAGCTTGATGAATTTTTACATATGTGTATACCCGTACAGCTACTTCCAGGTCAAGACACAGGGTGTTTCTACCACCCCAAAATGCTCCCTTATACTCTTTCCCAGTCAGTCTTCCCCCTCCCAAGGGTAATCAGTATTCTACTCCAATTTCTATGAATAAGTTATGCTGCTTTTAAGTTTTATGTAAAAGGAAGCATAGAGACTATATACTCTTTTATGTTATGTTTTACTCAAAATGACTGTGAGATTCAACCATGTTGTAAATAGCAGTAGTTCTTTCCTTTTCATTGTCTATAGTATTCCAAGTTTGGCATGTTGAATCGTCTTACATTTAATTTCCTGGCCTTTCTTCTATTTTTTTATGTATTTTAGGTTCATAATATTAGCTAGCATGACTGCATACTATGAATCAGAATGGTGCTAAGTACATTGCACCACTTAATCTTTTCAATAGTGTGAGCTTGGTAGTCCATTAATCCATTTTATAGATGAGATAACCCAGGCTCAGTAACTTGCCCAAAGTCACATAGATAATAAGAGGCAGAGCCAGTACTGAACACAGGTCCTTCTCATTCATTTATGATCCTGAGTTCTTAGCTAGTGTGTTACCATGCCTTGCACTCTTGGTGCTTTATCAATAATCACCAAAGAAATGAAAGATTGACTCAGGAGAACAAGCGAGTTTCCTTCTACTTCAAGGATCTTTCCATTTTCAGCCTCCTTTCCTTCTTCCTGTCTACTGGTTCTAAGGCATCATCAAACAGGCTGGTGAATTAGAGGATGGCATTTGACGACGTGCCATCGAGATTTTCCTAACTCCTTCTTCAGATGAGCAAATCTGTTGGAAACATGTGATCCTCCATGTAATTGTCGTTCTACAGCAATAAACTTTTCCTATCTGCTAGCTCTCTGGTTACTTCCCAAATTTCTGCCTCAATAAGTGCAAATAATAGAAGACTCAGTTTTGCTCTTTGGTTCCTGCTCAAGTTACACCTAAATTGTTTCTGAAAAACAATTGTCTGTTCCGTTGAAGGAAATGTTTAAACTTCCTTTGATTTTAATGTTTAATAAAACTTTAGCAGAAGGAAATATATTCTTAAATACAAATTACCACAGGTAATTATGTTTCATTTCCTTTTTTATTTTGCTAATTAGGGATGGAAAATTGCCAGTCAGCTTTCTCCATGGTATCAACTTGAATGGGTTTAAAAAGATAATCAGATGCTTTGCGGAAGTTTTAAACCTGGTTTTGAGTCAGTATCTGGATGAAAAGTCCCTGAATATACTGATATGTATGAATCCTCCACTTTATTTTCATATTCTTTATTGTGTAAGCAGATCTCAAAAATTTGGATTTTTGCTGCTGAGTATAAAGACATGGTGGTGTTTGGATTTGTAAAGGTGGGTAGTCTGCGCAGTGACTCTTTGTGTTCTAACAGGAAGTAAAGGTCGGGAGTAAAAAATGGGGTGGCTTTGCTTAAAGTCATGTCACTAACTTTTCTTAAATCACATAAAATACATTTATCTGTTTATCTTTCTGGAATTCTAATTTACATTCTAAGACTCATGCTCGGGAAAACTTTGGGACAGTTTTGTGTTGTTTTTTTTAAGAGCCATAAACTTTCTGGACAAACAGTATGGTAGGGCAACCAAATGATTGATGGGGGAAAGGTATTCTTTACGGAAGAATTCCACATGGAAGTAATGATAGAATCAGGAACCACCCCTTTAAAACTCTAATGAAATAGTGGATCTAAACAAACATTACCAGCAATTGATAAAACTATTAAGTGAAAAATTGATGAGGACTGCAACATGGGTGATCAGATTGACAATACCAGAGCCCACCATCAATCTTTCCACCACTAAAAGAAGACAAGTAGATATTACATACCTTCTGATGTGATAAAGCAAGCAAGTACTCAGCATCACCTATGAAGTGTTCTTGCAAATAGCATTGAGCCTGAGTCTAACCAAGCCTTCAGCTCTACTTACCAGAACACCAAGAAATACAGGGGATTGAGCTGTGGTTCTTAGCCTTGACTGCACAATGGGCTCACATGGGGAATTTTAAAGTCCTGATGCACAGGCTGTGTCCCAGACCAATTAAATGAGCTCTTGGCCTGGGAATCAGTATTTTTTTCTAGTTCTCCTAGATGTTACATACAGTAGAAGCCAAAGCTGGAAACCAGGGGAATAGAGGAGCAAATTAAAAGTCAGGACAAGAAAACAATCATGAAATGTAGACTGTGAGAAACTTTGTAGGACAAATTACCAGTGTTTTACAACACATATATGTAGTGGTAGAGAAAAAGGGGGGGAGTGGGTGACACAGATTAAAAGAGACTTAAGACATAAACGAAGTGTTATGTGAGGACTTTGTTTTGATCCTGATTCCAACAAACCAACCATTCCAAGATATTTTCCTTAAGAATTAGAAAAATTTAAATAGAGTCTGATTATTCAACCATGGCAAGTCATTGGGCATTAATTTTGTTACTTGTGATAATGGTTTTGTGTTTATGCTAAAAAATGGTTCTTATCGTTAGAGATTCATACTGAAGTATTTATGGATGAAATATGATGCCTGGGATTTGTTTTTAAAATACTCTAGCAAGTCACTGGCTACACGTCCCAGCCAGCCTAGCGATCCTGCCATGCCTCCGGCTGAGAGCTTACCAAAATGCCGTCTCAAATGGAACATGCCATGGAAACCATCATGTTCACATTTCACAGATTTTCTGGGGATAAAGGCTACCTAACAAAGGAGGACCTGAGAGTACTCATGGAAAAGGAGTTCCCTGGATTTTTGGAAGATCAAAAAGACCCTCTGGCCATAGACAAAATAATGAGAGACCTGGACCAATGCCGAGATGGCTAAGTTGGCTTCCAGAGCTTCTTTTCGCTAATTGCGGGGTTCATCATCACGTGCAATGACTATTTTGTAGCACACATGAAGCAGAAGGGAAAGAAGTAGGCCGGTGAGCAGTTACTTTGTCCCTGATAAAGAGTTCTCCCAAAGGGTCACTTAAGGAATCTCTGTCCCGCAGCTTCCTGCTGTATAAGGATTTCATGAGCAGATTGAGTCCTTTAGAAAATGTGCAAATAAAATTCCACCTGTTTGACAAGAGAAACAAAAACCAATTAAAGCCAGATAAACTTTTGATTGTTATATTGCTTGTATCCTCTTGCCCTCAATAAACAAATTTCTTTTTTAGTTCATAAAAAAATTAAAATTTAAAAAATTAAAAAAAATACTCTAGCAAAAAAATAGTGAGGTGATACATAAAAACAGATACAAAAAACTGGTAAAACGTTGATAATTATTAAAGTTGGGTGATGGCAGATGGGAGTTTATTTTACTATTCTCTCTACTTTTGTGTGTTTAAAAAGCTCTCATACTAAAAGATTGAAAAGGAGGCATAAAGGTGAACTATATGCTAACATCTCATGCACTGTGATACATTATCAATATGAAGCCTAAGAAGTTTATATGGAAATAAACTTGCAATACAATGAAGTCTAACCCTCTGTGTCCCTGCAAAACAATTCTTTTTTTTTAAGAAAAATATTTATATATTCTGTTATTATGTTTATATCTCGTATGCAGACAATGCTGGGCCGCCTCCTTCTACTCTTATCAACCAAAATGAAACTTTTGCCAAAATCATTTTTAAGCCTAGTGTAGTGCAACAAGCCAGGATTGCACAAAATGGCATTTTGGGAGATTTCATCATGAGATACGATGTCAAGAGGGAACAGAGCATTGGAGACATCCAGGTAAGGGTCTTTCATGTTAGTTGCTTGATACTTTTAGTTAGATTCAGAACTGGGGATTCTAATACCTAAGGCAGAGGGAGCTGTCTGACTTTTAGGAAATTCGTTTTAACCCAAAATGTGTCTCCAAGGAGACCAGTGGTATTCTCTAGGTGGAAGCTGAGGGTATATATTTCCTGCTTCAGTAATCTGGAGAGCAAATGAAATCTACAATTTTCCCTGTGGTGTGTTAGATGATGTTAGAATTTTAGTTCTTCTTCCATTTTAATTAAGAGAGACTGGTGCCTGGCTCATTTCCCTTTAGGCTTTATTGCTCCAGAGACAGGATGGGAATATTAAAATGTATTAATTTGCACCCAGAATGTAGACAGCCTTCTTGACATCTCAATTTGTAAGATGTTTGGTAAAAAAACAGATAATTAAGGAGGCAGGATTCTCAAGTGGCAGAAGGGGATGGGTAATTTAAATTGAATCAGTCCCCATAGTTGATAAAATTTTAAGGTATGATTTTACCCCTTATACAGATTAAATTAGCAATTCATTCTCTTGGAAGGATCAGGACCATGAATACCTTTGCTCTGGGTATGGAATCTGACCCTGTTTCATGCTACCTTTGATTTTTAGAAGTTCCATATAGTGTTCATTTTAATTAATTTTTCTACCTATCCTGGGTACTACCATTTACACTTTCTTTTCCCTCCAACAGGTTCTAAATGGTTATTTTGTGCACTACTTTGCCCCCAAAGACCTTCCTCCGTTACCCAAGAATGTGGTATTTGTGCTGGACAGCAGTGCCTCCATGGTAGGAACCAAACTCCGGCAGGTGAGTGAGTGACAGGTGCCCATTTTTTCCTCTCTCACTTTTGCCTGGGACAATGGTGTGGATAAAATTCAACTGAGGCCAAATGTCTGCTTTGCCATCCAGCTGTGGCTGCCTGCAGAAGGCCTTCCTGACCTGATTAAGTTAAACCACAGACAGAAACTATCATTTCAGCATGGTGGGTGCAGAGAGCAGAGGGACATGCTGTAGGAGCATCTTGAAATAAAGGAGGCTGCAGAGTGGACGATGTCAGTGAGACAGGACTATACCAAGAGAGCCACTCAACACCACCATTGTTGATGGAATAATTCTGTTCAGCAATGATGTCCTTTGAGAAAAATGGAATAGATTTATTGGCAGCTCCCTGGGGCTATTCTTAGAAAAAAGGACCTGTATCTCAATAATTCAAGACTGATATTTTCACAGCCTTAGGATGAATCTTAAAATTCTAGGAATGGGAGCAAGCTCAAGGGTACATGTAGTCTATACTGAAAATTTTAATTTACCTTGAAAATACAACTATATACTTTTTTAAAAAACAAACCATTGGAAAGGCTATTCCTTATCTTACTCTGGTATCCCAAATATCAGAAATTTGCATTTATAATATATTTTCAACTCATAGAACAGAAAACAGAAAGAGCTACTGGCTGCCGGACCAATTAATATCTCTACATTTATCAAAAACTTAGATCTCAGATTTTTTAAACTCATATCTATTTTTATCAAATAATAATAAATATAATGAGTAAAATAGTATCTTGAACCTCATGAGAACCTTCTATTCCACCTGTTTCCATTCCTGGGTCCATCCCTACAGGCAGCTGAAATTGATTCTAACTGATAACCAATGTACATATTTTCTCTATTATCACTTATAAATGGCTTCTTTGGCCATTGATGGTTTTAAAAGTATGTAGTATAATATATTGATCTCTTCACAGCATTTGATTTTTCTTTATCCCAAAGTAGTAAAACAAAATACCAAAATGTAATATAAAGATTGGGTTTAACTATTTTCTTTCAGAGGATAGACAAATATAATTTATAACCAATAGAGGAGGAAGATAACCTCATCTGGAAGTCAGTTTCTTGTAGTTCTTCAACATCACATTCTTGTACAGAATTCAGCCCACCAATGCCTCCACTTTTATCGCTTTGCTTTCCTTTCGCATATCTACCCTTCCATCTGGGGTTACCTTTCTTTCGCTTGAAGAACACTAATAGGTATCTTTTTAAAATATAGATCTACTGGTAAAGAATAATTTCAGCATTTGTCTAGAAGTTATTGATCTCACTCTCATTTTTTAAGGATACTTTTACTGGTATGGAATTCTAAGTTGGCAGCGGTTTTCTTTCGGTCCATTAAAGATAGATTCCACAGTCTCCTCTCCTGGCTTCCATTGTTGCTGTTGCAGTTATATGTTTAATTATTGTTCTTTTAAAGGTAACTTTTATTATCAACTGCTTTTAACATTTTCCTTTTTGTCTTTAGTTTTCTTACTGAAGTTTCCAGGACTTCATGAATTTGAGGATTCATGGGAAAATCCCCAGCCATATTTCTGAAATTGCTTCGTCTTAATTTTTCCTTCTGGGATTCCAGTGTTAGATTTCTCTCTCCATATGCTCTGTTTTCCATGCTCTTTTCTATTTATTCCAACTTTTGCCTTTCCATATTTTCACTTATAAATGGCTTCCAAACCTGTCAGTTCACAAATTCTTTCTTCAGGTATGGTTGATCTACTGTTAGATTAATTGAGTGATTTTAGTTACTACAAATTTTTAGTTCTAGGATTTTCATTTTTTCTCCCCAAATCTGCTCTGTTACTTTTCAGAATTTTCAGTTATTTTTCAAATTTTTATTGATTAAAAAAATTTTCTCAGGAACAGTACATGTAGTTATTCTAAAGTCTGTATGCTATTATTTTAAACTCTGGAGCTGCTTAGGAGATGTTTTTATTGTTTCTTATCTTCTCTCCTTCTGTGACTGGTTATCTTTGCTTGCATGATGGACATTATATTGTAAAAATTGTTTGGAGAAATATTTTGAGGCCTAAGATGATATTCTATGCCTCCAGAAAAAGTTTTGGTTTGTTTCTGTTGAGTATCTGAGGAAATTATAATCTGGGATTATTTTAGCCCATTTTCAGGGCTTGAGGTTTTTCTGGGTGGCTCAGGTGGCTCAAAGCTAGATTGAGCCTATCATTGGTGGTCTCTGTACCTCAGCTTTCAGATTCCTAAACCACTAAATGCTCAGACCTTCAGATACCTTTTTGGCCTTGGCAAAAATCCCTTAGACAAAGGTGATCCTAGATGCTGAGCCCAACTCTTCTATTTTATCTTCTCTCACATGTTTTTTCTTATTATTTTTGTTAACTCTCTGCTACCTCAAGATTTTAAAAAGTTGACATTTTGTTTAGCTTTTTCAGTTGTTCTCAGTGGGAAGGGTGAGTACAAATTACCTGTAGGTTTTCTTTATGAGCACCATTTTCTGAAGTTTTATCCACTCATAGTGAAGCAGTCTTTTGTACTGGTTGATTATTTATTGATGTTTGAGAGGTCTTACAGCCTTTCCATATTTACAAAGTGTGTTGAATTTCTTTGCTTTATGTACCCCAAGTTCTTAAGTGTCATTGTTGGCCAAGTTGTTTTTGTGCCTTTGTTAGCTAGATAATAGATGTTGACAGAAAAATAATCATGGATTCGTTTGAGACCACTCTTGGTCACAGAATACAGTGTTAATTAGGTCTTGCATCTGATCCAGCATGAGAATTCCATTTGGATTTTGAATCAATTAACAGCTACTGAGTGGGTACCATCTACTAGACTTTCCCATGTATCTCATTAAATTTCTATGCACCTCTAAAGCTTCAGATTTTCTTTTTCTTTTCTTTCAGACAATGAGCTTAATAAGGGCAGTGTTTGGGTTTTCTCTGGGGAAAAAAAACATAACTTGAAGATATCGATGATTAAAGTTACTGCAACCAATCAGAACTCCTGTTAACCACCAAATATTTTGTATTTGGACATTTTTATTTACCATCATATTGTGAATACCTCCAACATTGTTAAATGTTTTTTAAAAACCTGATTTTAATGGCCATAGAGCAGCATTATTTAACAGAAACTTCTATGAGAATGGGATGTACTATATCTATGCTATTCAATATGGTAGCCACTAGTCATGTGTGGCTGTTAGCACTTGAAATGTGACTAATGTAACTGAGAAACTGCATTTTACATTTTATTTAACTTTAATACAGTTGAATTTAAATAGTCACATGTGGCTGCTGGTTACCCTGTTGGACTGTAAAACTGAAGAACATTTACTCACTCCACCATCCCTGAGAGACTTTGAAGTTATTTCTATATTTTGCTGTTATAAATAGCATTGGGATGTTGACCTTTATGTAGAAATCCTTAACCACATGTTCAATCATTTTCTTAAGTTAATTGTTAGGAGTAGGGCAAAGATTATCAATTCATTTGTTGTTTTTACATGTGTTACAAAAACATTTTTTGGAAGGGCTATACCAATTTATAACTTTTAAAACTGTTACCACACTAAGAATTCCAAATGAAGTAAGCAGTTAAAAGTAACCAATGACCCACACTCCAAAATATGTAAGAAAATATAGGTGTATCTTTAAATGGTTTTAAAGTATGAAAGGCCTCTTTCTAAGCCTAAAAGCAATGAAAGTAACTAAAAGGGAAAAAAACTTAATAACTTTACCTATATAAAGATTATAAACTTTTGTTTCAAGTTAAAACAATAAAAGTGAACAAAGGATGGAAAAAATTATGCAGCAAAAACTTTTCTTTAATATATAAAGAGCTATGTAAAAAGCAACAGGAGTTTATCCTTAATATATAAAGAGCTATTCTAAATCAATAAAAAATAATCCCTTATAAGAAAATGGTCAAAGAATAGGAAGCCATTTACCAAAGAGAAATAGGAAGATTCAGTAAGATTATGAAAAAGAGTCAAATGTATTAGCAACTAAATAAATGCAAATTTAAAAAGTACTATTCTCATCTTCATATTGTCAAACTTTAAATAATGTAAATTACTTCTAATGACAATTTCTATAGTATGCATTTGTAGAACTCAACAAAATATTTACATTATCTCCCAATAAATGTTAAAAAAACACCAAAATGGTAAAATGTGTGGTCAGTTTCACTGCTTCTTCATAAAAAGGCATTAGTCACTCAAAGGCCACAGCAGCTTAAAGGACTCAGTTCTTTAGGTGCCTGAGTCACTTCAGGGTTTAACCTCAAACCCAGACTATACCAGTGCACAGAGTCTTCTTCCTCTTCTGATGGGAGAACTATCAAGAATTTTCTTACTAAATAACCCTCAGAGAGACAAGTCTCATCCCAAGTTGGATAGAGAAAACCAGTGAACTAAGTTGAAGTCTCCTAGATTTAGCATTAATGATAAAATAATTTGAGTAAGTCTTAAAAATATGGCATGGGATATTTTCAATATGTTAGACATTATGTTAAAGGTATTACACAAGTTATTGAATAAAAGGATATTTAGTCTTTGTAATGATTTTCTTGTCATCCTCCTTTTACTGATGCAAAAGCTGAGGGTTTGCAAAGGTATATAAGTCAGCTAGTACATGGCAGAAGGAGGCTTCAAAGCCAGGTCTGACTCTGAAGTCCATAAATCAAACCACAATGCTGTGGTGTCTCAGTACAAATGACGGTGTGATGAAGCAGTGCTCTGTATGTGATGATAGAAGTGCAAATGGGTACAGGGTCAGTGCAGTTTGACATTTCAAAACCCAATTGACAAGGCTGCATTTCAGAAGGAGGGATTCCCTTGCATTTTGCAAGAGCAATGTAATGATAGATGCCACTCCTTTGTTATTCTCCCCTCTTCCTTCATTCTTGGACATTAAAATTCCATTCCTTGCTAGGCACTTAAAGTCTGGCATGCATTCTGCTGGCCTCTAAGCTACAGCATGGCCTCGTTCCACGAGAACTATCCAAGA